GGCGGAAGAGCCTGACGCCGAGAGAGGCCCAGAAGGAGAAAACATGAAACTGGGCCTTCTCGGCGGTGGCTCCTCGCCTCTGGAACAATCTCCCTCCGGAGATTCGCGCGGCCCCCACACTGGGCACCTTTAAAACCCAATTAAAAACATGGCTGTTTATTCAGGCCTTCCCTCCAGCCAATTCTTGATTTCTCTCTTACTTTTCCTTCTTTATTTCACTGCTGTTGCTGTTTGATTATTATGTATCTGTCTATGTTTTTATTATCTGATTTTATATTGGAAGCCGCCTAGAATGGTCTGGTGGGCCAGATAGGCAGGGTATAAATCAAATAATAAATAAATAAATAAATAAATAAATAAATAAATAAATAAATAAATAAATAAATAAATAAATAAATGATGCAATATTTTCTTCATCAGAGTAATAGTAGTCTTTGTGCAATTTTCCCTCTCTTCTCTCCCTTGAAGGCTGCTGTCTCTACTTATCCCACGTGGTAACACCTTTACATAGAATCTTGCAGAAGTCTGCCTACAAGTGTACCTAGATCAGTGTTCAAAGGTCAAAGATACCCAACTTGTCCTTGACATAATCAGTTCTCCAAACCTACTAAGGCAATTTATGTACCATTTCCACAAACAATGACAATTGTGCCTTGGGTCTGAATACTGAGGAAGATGTGGAAGAGGTCAAAACTGTATTTCTTACCTAGATACAACTCAAGGATTTTTGAAAACTCTTGGAGAGCATTTTTGTCCTTGGGCAATAATTTTACTGGGTATTTAGAGTAGGCCACTGATAAGGCACATATGTCATCTCTCTCTCTCTCTCTCTCTCTCTCTCTCTCTCTCTCTCAAAACTAACATAAGGATGTTCTTGAAGCCTATTCCTCACAGCTCTGACTTCACTGCATGAACATGTGTGACATTACAATGAAAGAACATTTGATACAGTAGCATCTTTTACAAAAAATGGACCGAAATAACAAAAATACCAAGATATTAATAGCAGTTTTTGATCTGTCTTGACAGTTGTAGATTTTTATATAAACAGTAAGTGTGACTTGTGCTTTCAGATATAGCAAAACCTTTTGTTGACCCTAGCTCACCCAGTCTTCCCCAGCTTTTTCCTCCCCTCCCCTACTTGGTAACCTGATACATAGGGTATATCGGCTACTAAAACTGCTTCTGCATCGTATACAGGTCATTCCTGTTTACAATCATATGAGAACAGACAAAGGACAAAATGCATAACAGGCAGCAAAGAGGGACAGAAATAACTGGGGAGACATGGAAGGTGACCTCAGTCTAGCAGTTTTGCCATTTCATATCTATCTAGATCAATCATTGAACAATGCTAGGAAAGCCCTTGGTGTATTTTCATTTTTTCCATCTCCTCTTTGCTGTGACATGCCGTTTTTATTTGCATGGCCAGATATATGAGGTCTTCTGTCCAGCTTTCAACACATGGTGTAGTAGCAGGGCTTCCAATTTTGTAGACTGCCTGGTATTGCTTTCTGCTTTTTAAAATGCCTGTTCTGAGTGCGTACAAGGTTTTGCAGCGTGGGTTTGGGCTGGGGTGTGTGTTATGTTTCTGTGCTGTGATGGGTCTTGCAGTGTTTTTTTTCGGTGGGTTTTCCCCCCCACCGGAACAGATTAATCGCATTTCCGATGGGTCTTGCAGTGTTTTTTTTCCCAATGGTTTTTTCCCCCGGCTGGAACGGATTAATGGGGTTTCAAAGTATTCCTATGGAAAATGGTGATTTGAGTTACAACCAACTTGAGTTATGACCATCTTCTGGAACCAATTAACTTCGTAACTCAAGGCACCACTGTATAGACACAGGGTTTGCCCCATCTTACAAATGTACCAAAGGACTTTTACCATTAGAGTCACACTCTTGTAATTTGTAAAACTGGAGATATTTGCCTCAAGAAACAGATTATCTTTTCTCTTTCTATAATATGCACTTTCCTTTATCCTTTTTTTGGCATGAAGTATGCTGCTCTCTCTCTCTCTCTCTCTCTCTC